TGTGCATATGTGCTCCTCCAGCGCATATCCGTATTTGTTTTGCAACTGTAGTATTCTATCACTAAAGTTCTACAAAAAGCGCGCATGCTCAAAAAGGGGGTAGGGTGGCGTGCATACCAGTGCTGATCCATGTTTAGCCCTTCATACATACCTGATGCCGTCAGCAATGGCCTCCTCTAGGGCTTCATCCTTTTCCACTTTGGCATGATGCGCTTGTTCAAGATACAAATTAGCCCTTCGAGTAAATACCTTCTTCTGGGTAGCGACCCACTCGTTGTCAGTAAGACCTCGAACGGACCCGCCTCTGGACATAGTGGCCAACGCACTAGTCTTGCTGTCGGTGGTATCGTTCATTCCCGTTTTATGTAGAAGACCGACTGCGGCTGCATTGTATATGCCTACCATTTCGAAAGAATTGAGCTTTTGCTTGGAGATGACACAGTTTTTTTTATCGGGAGAAGACACGGTTTGATGAGTGAAGAAGACACGGTTTGCTGAATGAAGAAGACACGGTTTGCTGATTGAAAAAGATAGTATTAATTAGACATGAGCATACAGGCTACTCAGATAGATGGTCATGTGAGGTAGTATGTTGTGTTATCAGAATATTTCGTTGATAGAACTACAAGTCATGTGCGAGATTCAACCATGCGTAACCTTACATTTATACTCCTCAGAAGCACTGTCGTAGACGGAGTGCGCTACATACTAGAAATTGTCTTCGTGGTGGAGTGTCTCGTCTCGGAAACAAAATAAAAGGTTATCGAGGGGCAACGACAGGTCGAATGTATCGCTTCATGATACCGTCGTAGTTTTGAGCTGAATTCTCGTACAACATCATATCGAGAATGGACCGAACAGGAAACGATGAAAGCCACGGAAATCTTAGTTGCCCTGCAATATGTACTCGAGTTAATTTTTAATTTGATATTGGTGTTTTTTTATTAAGTGCTACAATCACTTCGATTAGCATGCAGATTAGAGTAAAAGGCGTATGCGACGAGAGTGTGTCTGTGTGAGGCTGAATATTGGGAAATGTTAAATGTAACATCCTACAGACCTTCAGCGTATATTTTATGGGTTTTTTTTAAAAACAAAAAATATATATGGTATGCACTAAAAGAAATTAAAGAAAAATTATAACAGTAGTCCAGCAACCCCAAGTCCCTAATGTGGCAATACTAGTGGTGTACAACAAAGTGATAGGAGCCATAAATGATAAAGCTGAAGCACCGTCACCCTAGTGGAGAGCAGCGTGTTAAATTGACAATACATACAACTGTGTAAAACTGTAAATTATAAAAATATTACTGGTGTCGCGACTGACGACGGTCGACGTGTGCTGAGAATTTTGCCTTCACTGCCTCTTGTCAGTTGTCACTTGTGTTGTTTTATACTTTTTTTTAGTATTTTTAGAAAGAAAGAAAAAAATGTAAATTAAAAAGAAATCGACGAGTGGGGAGATCGTTTTTGATAACGGACGCTATTATAAACATGTGTAAATATTTACGTTGTAAATAGTAAATGCATAGAAGTATTCGCATTTACTTTGTAGGGTGGAGCCTCAGCGCGATGTACGGCAGTATATGATGGTACAACCGAACGGAATCGATAGGAGAGTTGACCTCTTTTTAAGCGATGGCACAACGCCAGGCAAGCGTGTCTTCATGCCCGACGATGTTGGAGATTTACTGGCTTGGGTAAACAATGTTTTAAGTGGTTTGTGTTGCTGCTACGCGCCATACCTCTACATGTGTAGCTATGTAAACCCAATGTATTAGTGACACAAGGAGGAAGGTCGATGGTCAAAACATCATATGGCTGGTTGGTTAAGACTTAATATATCAAGCTATTGCTTGAATGTAGTACTTATATGCTATTCAATAGGAATATGGCGTCTACTCGTGTGCTCTACCCGAGACCTCTGACCGTCATCAGGGGTGATTCTAAAAAATACGCGCTATAATAGGCTCAATCATTTAAGCACATTTCTACACAAGGCTAGCATATCTACACTAGCTCCAAGAACTATTGTTTCACTCAATGACTACGATATCAACAACCGGATCAAAGAAGGTGAAATTGAGGTAACCAATTCGTGTCATTCGACATATAGTACATACAGGAATATAAACACACACACACACACACACAATAATATATATATATATATATATATATATATATATATATTATATATATATATATATATATATATATATATTAT